GTGTGTGTGTGTGTGTGTGTGTGTGTGTGTGTGTGTGTGTTTGGGTTTCCCCCATGTTACCAAGCAGTTCTTTCAACACCAGCTAGATGTCTTACAATTAAACTCAATTCTGACATGCCTACCTAGAGATAGCCTCTGATTCTACAGGCCAAGGGCCCAGTCCTTAAAACTTGCACCCCCACTCCCACCTCCCATTTTAGACACCAGTAGCAAGTTCAGGTTGTCACTTGAGCTTCTGATGGACCAGCTATAGATTGGAGGTTCTAATGACCCCCTTCTTGGGTTTGATTAATTTGCTGGAGCAGCTCACAGAATTCAGAAAAACATTTTACTTACTAGATCACTGGTTTATTATAAAAAGATACAACTCAGGAACAGGCAGATGGAAGAGATACATAGGGCAAGGTATGGGGAAATGTTGTGGAGCTTCTATCCTCTCTCGGAGTGTGCCACTGTCCACAAATCTCCACGTGTTCACCAATCTGGAAGCTTTCCAAACCCTCTCCTTTTAGGTTTTTATGGAGGCTTCATTACATAGGCATGATAGATCAAATCATTTGCCATTGGTGATTGATTCAACCTTAACTCCTCTTCTCTCCCCAGAAATCAGGGGGTGGGACTCGAAGTTTCAACTCACTAGTCATAGTTGGTTCCCCTGGCAACCAGTCCCATCCTAGGTAATTTCCAAACGTTACTTCACTAGCATAAATCCGGTTGTGGTGGAAAGGGGCTTTTTATGAATAACAAGGCATTGGTTTACCTTTATGTTTCTAAAGCGATTTCAGGAACTGAGGCAAGAGACCAAACATTATGACAAAAGATGGTCCCATTGCTGTTATCATTAGGAAATTCCAAGAGGTTTGGGAACTGTGAGCCAGGAACTGTGGATAAAAACCAAATATATGAGATATTTTGGTCATTTGAATAACCAAATACATATTCCTTATGAATTACAGTACTGCAGGCTGCCATTGCAAAATATCAAAGTTCAGGTGGCTTAAACAACAAAGATTTATTTCCTCACAGTTTTGGAGGCTGGAAATCTATGACACGATATTGTCAGGTTTGGTTTTTCCTGAGACCCATTATAGATGCCTTGTCACTGTGCCCTCATATGGCCTATTTACTTTGTGTGCACATCTCTGGTGTTTCTGTCCTTATCACCTCTTCTTTTAAGAATACCAGTCAGATTACATTAGGGCTTACCCTAGGGCCTCATTTTAACTTTAATTACCTCTTTAAAATCCCTGTGTCTAAATACATTCATGTTCTAAGGCACTGGGAAATAGATATATGAATTTTGGGAGGAACACAGTTCAGTATATAACATCCAAGTTGAGAAGGACTACTTCATTGTGACTAGAAAAATTTTATTATGTGGACTCAAATTGGGTCATCCAAGTCTATCAAGAGGTAGATTTTCTTACATGTTTAGGGATAACTCTAAATAGAGAGGAAAGAATCAATAAAAACGTCTTAAGAGGCAAGACCAGTAGGAAAAATGTTTGACTTTCCCCCCCTTATACCAGAAAATATCTACATTTAACATAGGGAATTTCATTAAACCTATATATTCATACCATTTTGATGGCCTGAAGTGAAATAGCACTCTTTTAGCAGTTTGTAATGAACTCATAAACAAGCATTGTCAATTGGTATGTTGTGGGGACCGGAAGGGTAGATTCTACTTTTCTTTGGAGCCACATAGCGATATTCCTTTCAGATAGGAACAAACTGGGATAAGCTTGTTATGTTTTTTTAAATAAATTATGAACACTTTAAGTGAGGGGAATCCTCTTAAAGGAGAATTTATTTTCAAGGACCAAGTTTTGTTTGAATTTTACCTTCAACGTCTGTGACTAAGGAAATTTTTTAAAAGTTGTGAATGCTTTTAAATATTTCCATATTATGTATATTGATGATTTCTTTAAAATGCACCCAATTCATTTGGTCAGGGGTGAGGAGTTGTTTTCTGAGGTATATATTTGGCTTTTAAAATCTAAGTGGAAATACATTTTAAATGAAATATTATTTCTTTTTATTTCTCTTGTTTAAAGAATTTTTTTTTTCAACGTTTATTTATTTTTGGGACAGAGAGAGACAGAGCATGAACGGGGGAGGGGCAGAGAGAGAGGGAGACACAGAATCGGAAACAGGCTCCAGGCTCTGAGCCATCAGCCCAGAGCCTGACACGGGTCTGGAACTCACGGACCGCGAGATCGTGACCTGGCCGAAGTTGGAAGCTTAACCGACTGCGCCACCCTATTTCTCTTGTTTAATAGGTGCCCCTATTTCTCTTGTTTAAAACAGACACATTTTATAGCCTTCACATGTTAACAATCTAATAGTAAATTCAACTAAATTCACTCAGAGAAAGCTAGGTTACTTTGTAGGTTAAACTGACATTTGTGTATGAGGAGTCCCTTAAATGCAGCTTTTCAAGAAATAGTATAATTGTGTGAAACATTTCTGTCTCTCAAAATGATTTGGATGAAACAACATCAGAAGGTGTCAATTAAATGTTCCACTTGAAATCCAGTTAGCTTTTGATTATTCACATTAATGGAAGGAGAGCATAGACATGTAGACTCCTAAGAGGCCTTTAAACAAAAATTACTTCTTTTTAACATTTGAAGACATTTTGGTACTGCATTTGGATAAGGGTGTGCCTCATGTCCTATGACTTTATTGACAGTCTTTGAATTTTAAGTAAATACTAAAATGTAGTTAGTGGAATGGAATATATATGAGATTTAATACTCTTTTACACGTTTGGATTTCCTTCTTTTAAGAGTTAGAGTGCTTTACAAGACCCTCTTGTTCTCAAATGTACACATAAAAAGCAGCACATTTGACAGATAAATTCCAAATGATGGTTAATGTCTTTTGTAGAGAATAACAAAGCACACATTAGCTTAGGATTTTATTTATAATTTACTTTCATAGTTTGAAATTTATTTCTTATAGTTGATTTTACTATTAGATTGTTAATATATGAAGGCTGTAAAACGTGTTTGTTTTAAATAAGAGAAATAAAAAGAAATATTTCATTTAAAATGTATTTCCACTTAGATTTTAAAAGCCAAATATATATACCTCAGAAAACAACTCCTCATCTCCTGCCCAAATGAATGGTATAAATTTTAAAGAAGTCAACAATATTATACAATATGGAAACATTAAAAAACTTACACAGCTTTTTCAAAATTCCCAAAATTCATATGTTGAAATTTTAACACCCAAAGATGATGGTATTAGTAGATGGGGCCATGGGGAGGTGATTAGGACATGAGGGTGGAGTCTTCATGAATGGGATTAGCTCTTGTAAAAGAGGTCCCAGAGAGCTCCCTAGTTCCTTCTACCCTGTGAGGACAGTGAGAAAGATGCTAGCTAAGAGCCCAAGAGAGGGCCTTCACAAAAATGTGACGATACTGGCACCTTGATCTTGGACTTCTCAGCCCCTAGAACTGTGGGAAACAAATTTCTGTTGTTTATAAGCTGCCCAGTGTTTGGTGTTTTGTTATAGCAGTATAAGTAAATTAAGACGTATGTTTACAGCATTGTGGAGTTTGACAAGTCCCAAGATCTACAGTTGGCAAGCTGGAGATCCAGGAGTACTGATGATACATTTCCAGTCTGAGTCCAAAGGCCTGAGAACCAGGAATGCTGATGGTGAAGTTCTAGTCCAAAAGCAGGGAAAACCCAATGCCCTAGCTCAAAGACAGGCAAAAGAAATTCTGTTATTTGGTGGAAGTTCAGCCTTTTTGTTCTATTCAAGCCTCCAACTGATTGGATAAGGCCCACTAACGTTAGAAAGGGCAATCTACATTCATCATTCTGTCATTTAAATGTTAAACTCATTTAAAAACACCCTCACAGAAACACCCCAAAACCGTATTTGACCAAATATCTTGGCATCTCATGGCCCAGTCACACTGAGACATAAAGTCAACTATAATGATGACCTATCTCAAAGTCTTATTTGTATGTTTTATGTTTTTCATCAGGAACCTAGGCTAAGTTAATAACCTTTGATATCCAATTCAACAACAGTATAGTTAATAAGTTGTCAGTGATGACAAATCATTATCACGTACAACACAAATATTAAGTGGACTCTGGTTATTTGTGAATATGTATATGATTTTCCCCTGCATTGCTCTGGACACTGGGGATATAGTGGTGAACAAGATAAACTTGTTTCCCCCTGTAACTTATATTCCAGTGGGAGTGGCAGATAATACCCAATAAACAAACAAATGTCTATTAAAGTATTAAGTAGTGGTAAGTACCATGAGAAAATGAAACACAGTAAAGAGGTGCCATTTTAGACTGGTCAGGGAAAGTTCTGAAGGAATGGCATTTGTATAGAGATCTGAATGAAGTAGTGGAAGAAGTCATGTAACTTTGATATGCACATATCTAAATCAGTTTCCAGCATTGCTTAAGGTCTTTCTTTCTTAACTCTCTAAATCCTTTGACTAATTGGGTAGATACTGTGATGTGCCACCCAGATCTCACCTTCTTGAAATATTGTTGCTCAAGCTGCAGCGAGTACAGTGGGCAGAGAGCCCACAGCTGCCAGTGTCTTCAAGAACTGCCTCAGCTGCAGGGAGCCAGACTAGGAGTATCCCCTGGCCAATGACGGATTGCTCTGGGAATGCAAAGGTTTGGCCATCTTTGCCCAACTGAGGACAACTCTGAGGGGCCATTCTAGTTCCAGAGTTACCTGGGGGGTCAGTCAAGGCTGACACTACACTAGACCTTTATCACAATTTAACTTCTTCTTCTGTCCCAACCTGCTTCATTCCCCTCTTTTTTCATACCTTTGATCCGAAAGGCACTTCTTAATTAACATCCTGCATGCTATTCTTGGTATTGAGGTCTGCTTACCAGGGATCTCAATGTTTGCTCAGAGTTTTCTAATTTGCAGATTATTTATGGTCCTATCTCAATATTACTTGGTAGCCTGTTTTGTATCAAGCTGCAGTTTGCTTTCTGACAGAATCTTACATGTTGATGTGAACCTTACTTTTCTGATTCCAGCACTCTGAAAATGGACTTTCTCCATGAAGCACAGTTTAGAAATTGCTAAATAGATTGTATTTTTTTCCTAACCACTTTGCTCTTATTATTTCACTGAGAGAAAGATGCTGTTTCAGAAGCAGCAGTTTATCCTCAGTGCTTGCAATAGTACAGAATTCTAATATATTCAGTTATATTTGACTAGAATCTGGTCAGCATTAACTTCTTTTTCATTTATAAAGAGAATGACACAAATTCATATCAGTGAGTGGGATTTTCAGATTATCTCCATGCTGCAAAAGGAGAGTATCTTATTGCCATTAAGCTGTTTTCATCAAGTATCTTAGAAATGCAAAATTCCTCATCAAGACAGTATGGTATTGGCACAAAAATAGACACATAGGCCAATGGAATAGAACAGACACTACAGAACTGGAACCACAAATGTATGGCCAGCTAATCTGCGACAAAACAGGAAAGAAAATCCAATGGAAAAAAGATAGTCCCTTTAATAAATGGTGCTGGGATAACTGGACAGCAACATGCAGAAGAATGAAACTAGACCACTTTCTTATACCATTCACAAAAATAAACTCAAAATGGATGAAGGACCTGAATGTGAGACATTCAAACCATCAAAACCCTAGAGGAGAAAGCAGGAAAAAACCTCTCTGACCTCAACTGCAGCAATTTCTTATTTGACACATCTCCAAAGGCGAGGGAATTTAAAAGCAAAAATGAACTATTGGGACCTCATCAAGATAAAACCTTCTGCACTGCACAGGAAACAATCAACAAAACTAAAAGGCAACCGACGGAATGGAAAAAGATATTTACAAATGACATATCAGATAAAGGGCTAGTATCCAAAATCTATAAAAAAGTCACCAAACTCCACACCTGAAAAACAAATAATCCAGTGAAGAAATGGGCAGAAAACATGAATGGACACTTTTCTAAAGAAGACATCCAGATGGCCAATAGGCACATGAAAAGGTGCTCAACATCACTCCTCATCAGGGAAATACAAATCAAAACCATACTGAGATACCACCTCATGCCGGTCAGAATGGCTAAAATGAACAAATCAGGAGACTATAGGTGCTGGAGAGGATGTGGAGAAATGGAAGCCCTCTTGCACTGTTGGTGGGAATGCAAATTGGTGTAGCCACTCTGGAAAACAGTGTGGAGGTTCCTCAAACAATTAAAAATAGATCTAGCCTATGACCCAGCAATAGCACTCCTAGGAATTTATCCAAGGGATACAGGAGTGCTGATGCATAGGGGCACTTGTACCCCAATGTTTATAGCAGCACTCTCAACAATAGCCAAATTATGGAAAGAGCCTAAATGTCCATCAACTGATGAATGGATAAAGAAGATATGGTTTATATATACAATGGAATGCTACTTGGCAATGAGAAAGAATGAAATCTGGCCTTTTTTACCAACGTGGATGGGACTGGAGAGTGTTATGCTAAGTGAAATAAGTCAGGCAGAGAAAGACAGATACCATATGTTTTCACTCATATGTGGATCCTGAGAAACTTAACAGAAAACCAGGGTGGAGGGAAAGGGGGGAATAAAAAGTTACAGAGAGGGAAGGAAGCAAACCATAAGAGACTCTTAAATACTGAGAACAAACTGAGGGTTGATGGGGGGTGGGGGAGAGGGGAGGGTGCCTGATGGGCATTGAAGAGGGGACCTTTTGGGATGAGTACTGGGTGTTGTATGGAAACCAATTTGACAATAAATTATATATATATATATATATATATATATATATATATATATATATATATAAAATGCAAAATTCCTGGTAATGGTAAAAAAAGTCGTGGGCAACTTAAAAGGGGTAATTTAAAAAAAAAACTGTTTAATGTATTTTTAATGGTTTAATAACTTTTAAAAGGTTAATATATAATGTAAATTCCCATTTACTGTATAATTGGAGTAATTTGTGAATTACCTTCATTCTTTCTATATCAAGTAATATATGAATAATTATGTAAATTATGATTTATAAACATTATCACTAATTATTTTCAAACATGATGCCAAAGAAAAAGAAAATACATACCAAAATGTGTTTTGGACACACACACACACACACACACACACACACACACAAACACATAAATTCTGTACAAAATTTTAGTATATGAAGTCTAGAAATATATAATAATGATAATATATCATGACCTAGTGGAAAATATCCCAGGAATTTAAGGTTGATTGAAATTTGAAAATCAATCTGTTTAACCATATTATCAGGATAAATGAAAAAAATGTTCATCTCAGTAGACACAGGAAAAGTATTTGATAAAATTCAGTATGTACTTGTGACAAAAATTCTTAGAAAATTTTTAGAAGTATTAGTATTAGAAAAGGACTTTTTTCTTAATACTAGGGACATCTGTGAAAAACTCTCAGCCAATATCATACTTAATGATAAAATATGAATGCTTATTCCCTAAGATTGGAAACAAAACAAGAATGCCTATTCCCATCATTTCTGTTCAATATTTTACTTGCCTAGCCAGTACAATAAAACAAGACAAAGAAATAAAAGGCAGAGTAGAGAGGAGTAAGTGAGATAGTCTTTATCCTCAGATGACATGATTATTTATGTAGAAAATCCTAAGGATTCTACAAAAAGATGATCTTAGAACTAATAAATGAGTTTAGCCTATAAGATCAATACACAAAAGTTAATTGTATTTCTGTATACTATCAACAGACACCCGGAAACTAAAACTTGAAAGTACCATTTACAGTACTATTAAAAACTATGATTTATTTAGGAATAAATTTTAAAAAGTGCTTGAAAAACTGATCTACTGAAAACCCCAAAACTTTACTGAGAGAACTTAAAGAAGACCTAAATAAATGGGAGATCAACTAAATTATCATGGCTTTGGAGACTAAATACTGTTAAGGGGTCAATTCTCTGGAAATTGATCCACAGGTTAAACATGCTTCCAGTTGAAATCCTTGCTGGCTTTCTTACAGAAATTGATGAGATGATTCTAAAATTTATATAAAAATGCAAAGATCCTAGAGCAGCCAAATCAGTTAAAAAATGTTTTTAAATGTTTATTTATTTTGAGAGAGAGCACAAGCAGAGGGGGGGCAGAAAGAGAGGGAGTCACAGAATCTGAAGCAGGCTCCAGGCTCTGAGCTGTCAGCATGGAACCCGATGCAGAACTTGAACTCATAAACCGTGAGATTATGGCCTGAGCTGAAGTCGGATGCTCAGTTGACTGTGCCACCCAGGCGCTCTACAGTAGCCAAATCAGTTTTTAAACAAAGAACAAATTTTGAGAAATTACACTACCTGATTCCAAAACTTACTATATAGATCCATGGTAATGAAGACAGTGTCAAGATAGACACAGAGATCGTTAGACTAGAACATAGATCAGTGGAACAGAAGAGAGGGTTCAAAAATAGGTTAACATATAGAGAAACAACTGATTTTTTTTTTTAAGCAGGGAAAGGATAATCTTTTAAACAAGTTGCACTTGAACAATTGGACATCTATATGTAGAAAAAGAAACTTTACTCTTATCTCATACCACATACAAAAATAGAATCAAAGTGGATCACAAAGTTAAATGTAACTATAAAAAGTATTTAAGTTTTAGAAGAAATCATAGGGGAAATAGGAAGCTGAAGATAAACAGACCTAGAGTTAAATTCCAGGCTTGGTCTTGAACCACCTGCCATTATACTACCAATGCAAGCAGTGACTACCTGGCAAGTTATGTAACTATTCTGAGCCTAACTTTCCTTACTGATGAAATGGTGATACCTACAACAAAGTGTGAATTTAAGGCAACAATTCTCCAAGTATGGTCCTGAGTCAGCTGCATTAGCACCGCCTAGAAATTTGTTAGAAATGCAAATCCAGACCTACTAATTCAGTGAATTGTTTTGCCTTCCAGGTGATTCTGATAAGTGTTTTAGAACCACTGATACAAGGATTGTGTGTATTGTATGCTGAGTATCACAGTTTGCTGGGTATTAGGTACATGATTAATTTCAAAAACAAATGTCTGCCCCAACATACCTTTTATTCTCTTCAACGGCTATGCCCTTCCAAGTTTTCAAATTTTAGCATTCTTTCAGGATCCAATTAAAATTCCATCTACTTTTCAAATTCTTTCCTGATCGTAAATATTCTGTATTCCTCACTCCTAGTATTTATTATTTAGACCTGTGCTTCCTAGTATAGTAGCCACTGGCCACATACGGGTACTGAATACTTGAAATGTAGCTAGTCTGAATTGACATGTGCTATAAGTATAAAATACTGGATTTCAAAGGCTTAGTACAAAAAATGAATATATAATATCATTAATTTTACATTGGTTACATGTTGAAATGATAGCATTTTGAATACACTGAGCTAATAAAATACATTATTAAAATCAATTTCACCTTTTTGCTTTTACTTTTTAAATATAGCTACTAGAAAATTTAAAACAACATGTGGCTTATGTTATATTTCTATTGAACAGTACTGGTCTCAAGTTAGATCATTCATTTGCCAAAAACAACCTACTTAGGTTTTTTTGGATGGCCATTTATTTGTTATACTTCAGAATTGTGTAATAGTTAAGAACGTAGATCTAGTATAATACCACCTGAGTTCACATTCTGGCTGCACTACTTAACTTTTTTACTCCACTATAACATGGTAGTAATAATAGTATCATCTTTCTAGATTTGTGAGGGTTAAATGAGATAATATATGTACAATGACCATGCCAGGTTCATAATAAATGCTCAATAAAAATATTAATATTATTCTAGATACAGTGATCATGAAATAATTTTATTCAGAAGGGGATGAAGAGGTAGATGAAAAAAGACATAGGTAAGAATAATTTCAGAGTTGTCTCATAAGGATCTTTTTCATTGTTTGAAAAATTACAGAAATTGAAAAGTACTGGTTGTTAGTTCCATTACACAGACTTACTTTGTAGGTTAAATATTTATTCAGAAAAACTACTTTGAAGTAGATGAGTATTGAGTTTGGACCCTGCAGTTTTGGGGAGGAGTTGAAATAGCCATGTCTCCATATGTATTAATCCTGAGGATTAATGTTGAGCGTGTGAGCAAACAGGACTGGCAACATAATATGTGGGACTCAGTGCAAAATAAAAATATATGGCACCTTTTAAAAAATTATTAAGAATTTAAGGGTGGCAATAGCACAGCATTAAACCAGGCATGTGATCCTTGTAAGCACAGGCCTCAAGAAGCCATCCCTGCCAAGAGACTTGTAGACATTTAAGCAATGGAGAATATTTTTCTTCTAGTAAAATTTGACACTTCTTAATAAACAAGTATTGAATACTTCCTAGTTCTTGAGCACTGACAGACCAAAGATAAACGAGCCATATTTCCTCTCCTGTGAGAAGAGTTGATAGATACCAAAGGGAGAGCCTCCATTTAAAACGTAGGACAGAGATAATAGATAATATTCTTTTGGTACCAGAATTACTTTTTCTTTTTTTTTTTTTTTAATTTTTTTTTTAATCTTTATTTATTTTTGAGAGAGAGACAGCATGTGAGCAGGGGAGGAGCAGAGAGAGAGGGAGACACAGAATCTGAAGCAGGTTCCAGGCTCTGAGCGGTCAGCACAGAGCCTGACATGGGGCTGGAACTCACGAACTGTGAGATCATGACCTGAGCGGAAATCAGACACTCAACCGACCGATCCACCCAGGCGCCCCCAGGATTACTTTTTCAGTACAGAAATTTTTCTGTTTGTGCTGCTGTAACAAAATACCAGAGACTCAGTCGCTTATAAACAACAAAAATTTATTTCTCATATTTCTGGGGGCTTTGGAAGACCAAGATCAAGGTGCCAGCATGGTTGTGTTCTGGTGAGACGCCTCTTCCTGGTTCATGGCTGGTGCCTTCTGTGTCCTCACATGGTCAAAGTGGAGACGGAACTCTGTGGAGCTGTTTTATAAGAACACTAATCCCATTTAGCACCTCACAAAGACCCCATATCCTAACACTATCATCTTTGGGGGTTAGGAAATTTTTTTTTTTCTGAAAGTATAGCTGACATATGTTATATTAGTTTCAGGTGTAAACATTTGACATTTATATATGTTATGAAATGCTCACAATGATAAGTGTAATTATCATATGTCACTGTAAAAAGTTATTACATATTACTGACTGTATTCCCTATCTCTGTCTTATTTATTTTATAACTGGAAGCTTTTACCTCTTAATCCCCTTCCCCTATGTCACTCAGTATTCCACAACCCTTTCCTCTGGCAACCACTAGTTTTCTCTATAGATATAAATCTGTTTTGTTTTGTTTTTAGATTCCACATATATGTGAAATTATACAGTACTTGTCTTTCTCTGTCTCACTTAATATACTCAGCATAATATCCTCTAGGTCTATCCATGTTGCCAAAAATGGGGAGATTTCATTCTTTGTTATGGCTGAGTAATATTCTATTTCATATATATATATACATATATATACATATATGTATATATATATACCACATCTTCTTTATCCACTTATCTGTCAGTGGATACCTAGGTTGCTTTATCTTGCCTATTGTAAATAATACTGCTATAAAAATAGGAGTGCATAGAACTTTTCAAATTAGTGTTTTTGTTTTCTTTAGGTAGATACCCAGAAGTAGAATTGCTAGATCATATGGTATTTCTATTTTTTAATTTTCTGAGGAACCTCCATAATGTTTTCCATACTAGCTTTACCAATTTACATTTCCACCAGCAGTGCATGAGGGCTCACTTTTCTCCATATCCTCACCAATACTTGTTATTTATTGTCTTTTTGGTACTGCCAATCTGACAGACATGAGGTCTGTCACAATAAGATATTGTGGTTTTGATTTGCATTTACCTGATGATTAGTGTTATTGAGCATCTTTTCATGCGTGTGTTGGACATCTGTAGGTCTTCTTTGAAAAAATGTTGGGGCGCCTGGGTGGCTTAGTTGGTTAAATGTCCAACTTCAGACTTTGGCTCAGGTCATGAGCTCACGGTCTGTGGGTTTAAGCCCTGTGTCGGGCTCTGTGCTGACAGCTCAGAGCCTGGAGCCTGCTTCAGATACTGTGTCTCCCTCTTTCTCTCTGCCCCTCCCCCACTCATGCTCTGTTTCTCTCTCAAAAATAAATAAACATTAAAAAAATTAAAAGAAAAAATGTCTATTCATGTCCTCTTCCCGTTTTTGTAATCAAATTGTTTATTTTTTTAGTGTTTAGTTGTATAAGTTCTTTATATATTTTAGATATTAATTCCTTATCAGATATATCATTTGCAGATATCTTCTCCCATTCTGTAGGCTATCTTTTCACTTTGCTGATGGTTTCCTTTGCTGTGCAAAACCTAACCTTTTTCGTTTGGTGTTGTCCCAATACTTTATTTTTGCTTTTGTTTCTCTTGTCTGAGGAGACAAATCCAAAAAAAATATTGCTAAGACCAATGTCTAAGAGTCTAATACCTGTGTTTTTCTTGAGGAGTTATATGCTTTCAGGTTCACATTTAGGTCTTTAATCCATTTTGAGTTTATTTTTGCAGATGGTGTAAGAAAGTGGTCCAGTTCAATTCTTTTGCATTTAACTCTCCAGTTTTCCTAACATCGTTTGTTGAAGTTACTGTGTTTCCCCCATTTCATACTCTTAATTTCTTTGTTATAAATTATTTGACATATAAATGTGGGTTTATCTGAGCTCTCCATTCTTTTCTGTCGATCTATATGTTTTTATGCCACTATCATACATGCTGTTTTGATTACTACAGTTTTGTAGTATAGTTTGAGATCTGGGAGTCTGATAACCACCAGCTTTGTTCTTATTTCCCAAGATTGCTTTGTTTATTCAGGGTCTTTGTGGTTCCATAAACACTTTAGGATTATTCATTTTAGTTCTGTAAAAAAAATGCTGTTGGTATTTTGATAAAGATTGCATTGAATTTGTAGATTGCTGTGATTAGTATGGACATTTTAACAATATTAATTCTGCTAGTCCATGAGCCTGGTATATCTTTCCATTTGTGTCATCACCACTTTCTTTCATCAATATCTATAGTTTTCAGAGTACAGGTCTTTCATTACTTGATTAAATTTATTCCTAGATATTTTATTCTTTTTTGGTGCACTTTGGATTATTTTCTTAATTTCTTTCTGCTACCTTGTTATTAGTATATAGAAATGCAACAGATTTCTTTATATTAATTTTGTATCCTGCAACTTTACTGAATTCATTTCTTAGTTCTAATAGTTTTTTGGAGTCTTTAGGGTTTCTATATATATTATGTCATTTGCAAATAGTGACAGTTTTACCTCTTCCTTAATACTTTAGATGTCTTTTATTTATTTTTCATGTCTGATTGCTGTAGCTAGGACTTCTGTGTTGAATACAAGTTATGAAAGTGGACATCCTTATCTTTTTCCTGATCTTACAGAAAAAGCTTTTAGCTTTTCAGTATTAAGTATGATGTTACCTTTGGGTTTGTCATATATGGCTTTATTATGTTGAGACATTTCCCTGTATACCCACTTTGTTAAGAATTATTATTATGAATGGATGTTGAATTTTGTCAGAAGCCTTTCCTGAGTGTATTAAGTTGATCATATGGTTTTTACTCTTCATTTTGTTAATGTGGTGTTTTGTGTTGATTGATTTGTGTATGTTGAACCATCCTTGCATCCCTGGAATAAATCCCACATGATTATGGTGCATGATTCTTTTAACATATTGTTGAATTTGGTGTGCTAATATTTTGTTGATGATTTTTGCATCATGTTCATCAGGAATATTGGCCTGTAATTATTTTCTTGTGTCTTTGGTTTTATTTTATTTTATTTTTTTTTTATTTAAAAAAATTTTTTTTTAACGTTTATTTATTTTTGAGATAGGGAGAAACAGCATGAATGGGGGAGGGTCAGAGAGAGATGGAGACACAGACACTGAAACAGGCTCCAGGCTCTGAGCTGTCAGCACAGAGTCTGATGCGGGGCTTGAACTCACGGACCGTGAGATCATGACCTGAGCCGAAGTCGGATGCTTAACCGACTGAGCCACCCAGGCACCCCGTGTCTTTGGTTTTAGTATAAGGATAATGCTTGCCTTGTAGAATGAATTTGGAAGCATTCCTTTTTCTTCAATGTTTTGGAATCATTGAGAAGGATAGGTATAAACTGCCTCTTGACTCCTGGGGGTTGCAATTTTAACATATGAATTTGGGGTGTATACAACATTCAGACCTAGCAAAAAGTAAATACAAATAAAAATTATGTTTTGGAAGAGTAACCAGAAAGAGAAAGTTCTCTGGATAATTTTGTTGCTTTCATTTCAAATAAATCCTTTTTCATTTAAAAACAAAAAAGAAAGAAATTATCTGATGTGCTCAGTGATTCTGTTAAGTCATTTATGATGATCATAGCAAGAGAATATAAATGTCATGTAACATGTCCACAATTTAAGTTATTATTGGATTTAACTGAAATATTTCCACTTACATATTTTATATAGCAATAAAATTTGTAAACACTTTTTTGAGATGGCATAAGAGGACACATTAATTGTTTTATGTTTTTTGGCACTGTCAGTATACTGCTGTAACATTTGAAGTTCTATATTCTGAGATAAATGTATCCCATATAATTTATAAAGGATAACATTTAATCAAAGCTGTGAAGTGGTAAACAATTATTTTATAATAGTTTTAGCATATAGTATTTCACGTATATAGCATATTAAAAGTAAGTCTTGAATACTAAGGAGAATGCCTTTGATTGATAAAATTTTAAGTTGGTGGGATTTAATGAAATAAAAATACTGTCAAATGATCCATGCTAAGTGGTTTGCCATTTACTAGGATTTTGTCCATTACTTGGTAAACTTTGGCTGTCTTGCAGAGTGTCTATTTGGAGTATGGATATGTATTTACTATTTTAAAAGAAAGTCTGCCATTTATATCATAATACATATAAAGGACATGTGAATGATAAACATGTTTATGTAAAGAGACATTTTCTTCTTTCATTAGTTCTATAAAAATATATAATGAGTATAGTTGTGAGAAGGTTCCCAACCCTATATTCTTCTCTTGATTCTGTGCACAGCCTTTGATTTAGTTTGATTTATAGAAACTAGAAATGGGCTGATTAATTTTTATACAGGGGCAATTGCACTGGCCTTTAATTGTTATACAAGTGCGGATGTACCTGTATTTTCAATATATATACCCACCTCTTTTCACCCTTAATGTTAAAATACCAACTTTTTCACTGCAGAGTGGAGCAGTGTGGAGCTTGTGTATACCTCAACCTCAGCTGCTGCCAGATGACTCCCAGCAAGTGTCTGTGTGTGGGGAGCTGCCTGGTTTTTCTTTC